ACTTACATATCAGCTATTCAGAAAATAGTCCCAAAGAGACTCTTTAATTTAAACTGTCTGATGTTCTTTTGGCAGTTGTAGTGAAACCAAGCGATTTGTTCTCCAGAAAACTTGGACATAGTTTCATAGTTTCAGTTCAAAGAAAAGGGAGGAGGTGGATTATTTTCTGTGTCTTTTTTTTTTTTTTTTAAGGTGGACTGTACAACAATTTACTCAGTTACTGTCAAACAAACAGTATTTTTTCTGGAAATTATTACAATTAACTATTGCACTCCTTTCAAAAAGCCTAGCACCTCTTAAATAGCAGGAAACCTTGTTTGTCCACAAAAACTTACACACAGTGAAATTAATAAATACCATATCTGTTTCCAAAAGCAATTTTTATTCACACAATTCAGTGGAATTAAATGAGTTAGATGAAATTTTTCCAAACTAAATCCTTTGCTTCAATCTAAAACTCAGATATATTCTCAGAAAAAGCATAATGGAAATATGAATAAAAAAATTTAGTTTAACTTAGCAAAATAAAACTGTCTTTGACTGGTTGGAGACAGAAGTACTCTCAGATAAGTCTTCATAAACTTCTTCAGGTAATGAGTTCTAGAAATGGTGTTTACTGAAAGGAAAATGCTACTAAGAAAAATACTGTCCCTTATTTAAAGTTTCTTTCAAAGTCATTGTCTGTTCTTTTCACTGTCATTAGGTCTGGAAAAAGTACCAAAAGACCTTCCTCCAGACACAACTCTGCTGGACTTACAGAACAACAAAATTACTGAAATTAAAGAAGGAGATTTCAAGAATCTGAAGAATCTTCATGTAAGTCTATAAATGAACTGGCATTTGTCAACAAAAATGGGGAGAAAATGTGATTTTGGCCTGGCACTGTGATTTTTAAGGAAAACTGATGAAATACTCTGTGATCTTTCTCCACCAGCCCAGCCTTCTTAGTTCCTTTCCCGTTCTTCTTCTGCAAATTCTCTTTTCATACAACAGAAGTTTTTCATCTTTTTTCAACTCTTCATACCTGTCTTGCCTCCATTCATTCTCCTGATCTCCATCATAACTTCTCTCACCTATTTATTTATGTTGTCAGTCTCTTTGGGACAGTGACTTGGTTATTTCCATCTCAACCCCACCACCTCACTCACTTATTACTGTATTCCTTCCCCTCCCACCTTTGAGCTCACAGAGATTTTTATGTGTCATGTTTGTCAGCAGATTTTTTGTACTAATTTTAGCTCAAGAATTTTTCCAAAGCACTCTTCTGTCCCCTGCACTACAATAAAATTGTGTATTTCCAACAGCATTCTCCATCCTCATCCTGCTTTACCTGCCAGTCTTTTCCAACACTGCTGTCTGGTTTGATCTTTGCTGAAATATTTTCCCTTCTGGTTTCTGTGACTGCTTCATTTTTTCTGGTTCACCTCTTCTTTTCCAAGTTTCCATCAGACAACTACCTTCCTCTGTTTCTAAATTTCTTTTACTCTGTCTGAGGTCCTCCTCCCTGTCCACAGTTTTACAATTTATACCTCATACTCTTGCTTCAGTTTTGTTGAAATATCTTTCTTTACAGATCAGAAAAAAGCTATTACTTCTCTGCCTTTGAAAGTAATACCCTAGCTCAGTAATATGTCTGAAAATATTATTTTTCCAGAACTTCAACAACTGTTTATTCTGTGTATTACTCCATTTGATCCTTTATTATTATAAACAATGATTATTTGGCTTTGCTTTCCTGGTACTTCACAACCTCCTATTCTATTCTATTCTATTCTATTCTATTCTATTCTATTCTATTCTATTCTATTCTATTCTATTCTATTCTATTCTATTCTATTCTATTCTATTCTATTCTATTCTATTCTATTCTATTCTATTCTATTCTACACTATACTATGCTATTGCTTCATAAACAAGAAGCTAACTCCCACTTTTTGTCCATTACTGGTGCCAATACCATCAAACAAATAAACAATGTTTCCAACTAGAATTTGCCATCAGCCACTTGTATGTGGGAAAAAAATGCTACAAATATTTACCTGCTTACTTTCTTCCCAAGTTCCTCTTAAATATTTGTTTCAATGCAATATCAAGAAGATAACAGAAGCTGTGAGTTAAGCCATTGCGAACTATTTTATCTTACTGATGTTAACTCTAAGGGATTTTCTCTTTCTTTCTCCTCTTTCTTTCTCTCTCTCTTTCTTCTCTTTCTTTCTCTCTTTCTTTCTTTTTTCTTTCTTTCTTTCTTTTCTTTCTTTCTTTCTTTCTTTCTTTCTTTCTTTCTTTCTTTCTTTCT